TATATGTTTATGCAGGAGTTTCTTTACTATCAACGTTTTGAGGGTGTTTGAATGATGGTTGTGATGAATCAAGCTATGTGAAAAGTTGATGTCTAATAATAAGATTACTATCATAGACTGTTAAACACTTACAAAAATAATATGCTGTCATGTGACATATGCATTGTGATCACATCTGTTTTATATAATAAATATAACCAAAAAATGGTTGTCGTGGTAACAATGTGGTCAAGAGAAATAAGCGGCTATAGTGTTTTTTGATCAGGATGTACATTGCAGGTTGAAAGGAAATTAAATGTTGTCTACCGGTATTGAAGTTTCAATTCTACACTGTGTCCTCTAGGCTCTAATTTCTTGGCATCATTTAGCTTCTCTGTTGTATATCGTGCAAGCTGAGTGGGTTTCCAGATACCATCTAACCCCCTCCCAGACTGAAAACAGCTTATACTTTGAGTGTGTACAAAGATAAGCCTAAAATTAATTAAATTGTTTTAAACTTAATTATGTAAATTTTTATTGAAAGTTCAAATGTGGCTTACACGTACACCAATGGCAATCTGTAAATGTTATTGTTTCAGTGATTTTGTCTACCGAGAAAACCAAAGTTGCAGAGATTTCAGCAAACTGTGTCACATTTGCTGAATAGTTATTACCGTACATTGTTATAGTGCTATATGATATGTTTTAAATAATGATTCTGTATTGGAACCGAGAATTGCATTTATTGTATACTGGGTCGTTAAAATAATTTAATTTTAAAACTTTAATTTTGAATATAGTCGTTTGTGTAAAGCTTGTGTGCTATTAATGTCAAATATTTTTAACATTTATAACTCAATTTATAAATTTGTTGTGTATAGTACCGGTATATGATTATCGATACACACTGGACAACAATAAAGACATAAATATAATTTCTTTCAATCAGTATCCATCTAATGTAGATACATATGCATGTAGTACCTATCTAAGTGGGTGTTGTCTATACTTTGGGTTTATCTGGTCTCCTCATGTGGGTGTTGTCTATACTTTGGGTTTATCTGGTCTCCTCATGTATGTGTTGTCTATACTTTGGGTTTATCTGGTCTCCTCATGTGGGTGTTGTCTGCTTTGGGTTTATCTGGTCTCCTCGTGTGGGTGTTGTCTGCTCTGGGTTTATCTGGTCTCCTCATGTGGGTGTTGTCTGCTCTGGGTTTATCTGGTCTCCTCATGTGGGTGTTGTCTAATTTGGGTCTATCTGGTCTCCTCGTGTGGGTGTTGTCTGCTTTGGGTTTATCTGGTCTCCTCATGTGGGTGTTGTCTGCTCTGGGTTTATTCGCTCTCCTCGTGTGGGTGTTGTCTATACTTTGGGTTCATCTGGTCTCCTCGTGTGGGTGTTGTCTACTTTGGGTTTATCTGGTCTCCTCATGTGGGTGTTGTCTAATTTGGGTCTATCTGGTCTCCTCGTGTGGGTGTTGTCTGC